CATTTTCTGCTGTGGAAGTGCCCGTTTTTTTTTGTTTTTTTTTTTGTTTTTTTTCAGAAACACCCCCCTGCCGGTGATGGTGTTGCTGGTAAGAGCAGACAACACCACCACCCGGGGAGAGACTCCATCTATTGGTGGGGAGCGTCACCTAACTACCTCCCCCCCCCAAATAAATAAAGAGGTACCTCCCCAACGCGCTAGGCCAGCAAACATCAATCTAGAGCCTGAAATAGTAAACGACGTCATATTTCAAAATTCACGTATGCGCCATTAGTCGTAAACATTTGTTGAATACAAGGAACATTTTGGATACCAATTTCAAATTTCAAATTCATCTCTTTTCTAGACAGGTCTGGAATCATGGCCGTAAGCTGTTGCATGTTGCAATCCGAGTCTCGGCGTCTCGCCCATTAAACCACCAGTACCTAGCGTCTGGTGTGGCCGTTAACGCGGTAGCCGAATCGGTCTGTCCCTCGGGTCCATATTCATTCAACCTGGGGGGGTACGAAAAATGCGGTAGGTATTGCTGGTTTAAAGTTTAAACCACTAGTACACGGCCCCAGCCTTGCAGTCCGAAACTTTTCCCCACAAGAAAACGAGGCTGAAACGTCAAACGATGGGCCTGCCGTTGATAAATTGGATCGGCGGTCGCGTTTTCGTTTCGCGCTTCCAGATTTCGAGGTGTCACGCCCGCGGCCCAGGCGCCCATCCACGGGTGCTTTAAACCACCAGTACGTTTCCCAGCCATTTTTTTCCAACAAGGTGTGCATGCGGCCACAACTTTCGGGGGTCGGCCTACCGGAGCAAAATGGCTGGCGGTGCCAGCCATAAGGGGCCTGCCGCAGTTCATTCATTTTTCTTTTGGTGCGCACGGTGTTTCCAGCCCCGGTAAAAAGTGTACTGGTGGTTTTCTAACTGTTGATGTACAGAACTGAGTTTAAATCAGAGGAATGAAACGAGTCTGAATTACTTGGGGGCGCCGGGGCGGTCAGTTCAGTCATGATATCTCAAGGGTGTCACCCTTTTCGAAAAGAAAAAGAAGAAGGAAAAGAAACACAACCTGAGTCTCATAACTATAACATCAAACAGGTTGTTGCCTTTTGTTGTGAAAACGAAACAAACAAACAAAAAATGAAATGATTTCACCATTGCGTGCTCATCAACTGCTGAGAAAGTACGTCGTATGAAAATGCACTGTAGGTTCATTGAAGATTCATGCCTATGTTCACTGAAGCTTCATGCCGATTTGTGAACTTCAAGCCTTGCTTGGTCACAGCAGTGCAAGGTGCAACTCCATTGAATTTCCTTCTTTGCCATTGGTTTACCGGGCAGTTCTGTTTGACGATATGTACCACGACTTCTGTAGCACCCTGCTACGGTTTTCTCCGGTCAGGTTGAGCGTCTGTGGTCGGGGATGTCACTACGCAGCCATGCTGTGCCTCTAGTGCCAGCGGCGTGTCTGGAGTGTATTTTTTGGCTGTGACAGACCTTTCTTTGTTTCGTGGGTGTTTTGCTGGCTTGAGATGGGGTGTGAACCGACAGTCTGTAGAGTTTTCCATCTGGTGCGGGTGAGTGATAGTCTGCTTTGATTTTCGTCACAGGTACCTTGAGGGCAGTGGTTGGTGCCCACCTCAGGGTATCAGTTGTTGGGCAGTCGTTGATGCTTAACCACAGCCGGGGTTAAGGTGGATTATCACTTCCAGTGTAATCAGTTAGGGGATTCTGCAGACTGTTGAGGGTTCAGCCTCCTGATGAGTCAGTCGGTGAAACTCAAATGAAACAGTTTGTCACAGACCCTCGTTTGTTGTCCTCTTCTCCCTCTCTGCCTACGGTTTACCGGGCAGCTCTGTTTGACGATGTATATATATCGTCAAATATATATATAGTCGGTGAAACTCCGACGAAACTGTTTGTCACAGCCCCTCGTTTGTTGTCCTCTTCTCTCTCTCTGCCTACGGTTTTACCGGGCAGTTCTGTTTGTGACGATATATATATATATA